TAATTGTGTTTTGATATATCATTGTTGTGATAGTTGCACAATAATATATTACTCCATCGAAGTGTTAAATAGTTCTCGTTTGTAAATTTATATCAATGTCTTTCGGAATTTTGTTCTCAAATACGTGACGCACCCTATGCATACGGTGCAAAATAGTATTAGGTTATTCGGGAAATAATATTCCACCTGAGAATGAACCTTTTCTGTTCTAATACATTATTATGATAGTTGCCCCAAAATATATTACTCTGTCCAAGTGATTAAAGAGTCGTCGTTGTTAATTTTATATCAATCTTTTTCAAAATGTTGTTCTCAAATACGTGACACACCATGGGTATACACTGGAAAGTAATATCGGGTTCTTCGGAAAATAATGTCCGATTTTAGAATGTACCTTTGATAATAGTTGCACAAAAAATATTACTCATTCTTCATGATTAATGTTCGTCTTTGTTAATTTTATATCAGTCTCTTCCAGAATGTAACATAAAACATTATATACCCCCCAACCTGAACATGAAAAAAGATACGTTTACTTCTTTTTTTGCGTTAGTTAAAGCTTAGTCATAATGCGTCTCAAAGCGCTGCCAACATTAACAGAGCAAGGGGTGAAGGATCTACTTGTGATCGGATAGTACGGCGCTGGTTTCGGAAGTTCCACAGCGGGGATACGAGTCTTGAAGATCAAGGTGGTAGAGGACGTCCTTCTACAATTGAGAATCAACACTTGAAAACACTCGCTGAACAAAACCCACGTCAAAGAAATGTTTCAGATAATGGGTGTCAGCATTTCAACAAAATCGGACCATCTCAAGAAAATTGGCAGGGTTAAGAAACTCGCTAAATGGCTCAGTGAAATTCAAAGAGTTCGATGTTTTGAAGTACACCCTTGTGCAAATTAATTATACAGGAAGATGTGGAGGGCCATGATCACCTACAATCTTGTGCAAACTAATTGCAACAAAACGAATAACTCCGTTACCATTTACTTTTTTTCATATTTTTTCCAATGAAACATGACCCAGTGCATATGTTAGTACTTCGTATGTCCATTCCACAAGTCAGTCCTTGTAGACTGACCACAGATTCTCGATTGGATTTAAATCAGGAGAGTTTCAGAGCCAGTCGATAGTGCTTTGATTTACTCACTAGTAAGGCTTGCCAGTGCGTTCGTGCAACGTTACAATTTTTATACTCTTCCTTTGAGTAAATTCCATCGCGGACAATGGCCTAAGGACAACTAATCGGCAGTCGAGACAATAGTGTTTGAGCGTGATGAAAATCTGATGCAATCACGGATGACGCAATATTTTTCAAGGCCAAACAAATTTCTTTATACACCCCGAAAATAAATTCATATTACTGCACACCACTGCAAATGACCTAATCCGAGGAAAAAAGAGAAATGGATTACACCCTGTCATTCCAGTGGGTCTAAAACTGACCGTATGTTGAAAGAAATGAAACTAAAGCGGTTGTTTCAATTAACACAAATGTATATGTTTCATCTGCGAAATACGAATGATCCATTTTTTTGATCGAAGAGTGACTAGTGATGAAAAATCAATTCTTTATGATAATCGAAAACGATGGGCTTGATCGTGATGAAGGGCCCAAACACATTACTTAACCGAAATTGCGCAAACAAATTATGGTGACTGTCTGCTGATCCAACATTGGCGTCATCCATTACAGCTGGATCTAGATTTTGGATCTGGATCTGGAATCTGGTTTAGTACCAGCAACTTTTTATTCGGCGAGGTACAATTCTGCCTCACGAAAATGCTCGGCCACATGTAACCGGATGACCCTACAGAAGCTCACTGACTTGAGATGCGAGACTTTGCCACACCCAACATATTCCCCTGGTTTCTTGCTCAATGGCTACTACTTTTTCAAGCATCTTGACAATTCTTTAAGCCAAAAGACATTCCGTTGCAAAAATGCCACAATTGCATTTAAAGATTTCTTGGCTTTCGAGTTTTAGCAGAAAGGCAAAAATAACCTTGTAACTTGACGACGGAAATGGTTAGCGGTTCAGAGTTCCTCTTTTAACTGGTTTAAACATTTTTAAATACATTAATTAAGGAATAAATGTTGATTCTATACGTATCTCCGGGAACATTTTTGAGTTGATCCAGTCGTTCCGGTCAAATGATGAAATGAAAGTTATCTTGAACAGCCACTCGTCTACATCCTTTCGTATTATCGCGGGTGTCCCCAAGGGCTCCATCCTTGGTCCTACGTTGTTTTTAATCTTCATTAATGACTTTCCCGATGATATCAACTCTCAAATTGGCATCTACATTAACGACCATTTACTCCTGCCTCCATAGGAAGACTGATCAGTCAGATCAGGTCAAAATGGCAGCTGATGTACAAAACGAACGTTAACTGAGGCAAAAATGTCGTGTTAAACGCTTCCAAAACTAGTCCGATGTTTTATTTATTTTTTGTTTATTTATTTATGCATTTATTTTATTTTTGTTTATTTATTTATTTTATTTTGTTTTATTTTTTGTTTGTTTATTGATTTATTTTATTTTATTTCATTTTTTGTTTGTTTATTGATTTATTTTATTTCATTTCATTTTTTGTTTATTCATTTATTTATTTATTTTATTTTATTTTATTTTTTGTTTATTTATTTATTTTATTTTATTTTATTTTTGTTTATTTATTTATTTTATTTTATTTATTTATTTCAGTTTATTTTATTTTTTGTTTATTTATTTATTTATTGCATTAACACTAGTGTCATGGCTACATTTAATTCCTCTTGCTAACCGATTTTCACATCAGTTTTAAAATGCAAAAATTCCTTAACACAACACTTCGGAAGTCATTTGTCATTTCTGGTTTTGACTAACGTGTTCTTAAAAATTTTCCTACCGATGGTTGATATTCTTAAGTTAATATATAAATACAGCAGGTGCAATTTTGGAAATTTCAATCTTTTCCTGACTTTGAAATGTTCGCTTTAAGACATGTCACTTTATTTAAAATATGGCTGCGACCAAGTTTAAATGTAACAGAATTCAGACGTCGCTCGGGCATATAAAGGTTATCGTTAATAAGAATTGAAAATAATCAAAAGGAAAAAATGCGCAAATATTACAAGTATAATGGGATAGAGGAAGGCCTTAATTTTTCTGGGGTTGTTAGTCAGACCTACTTAAATATACTGGTCCACTCGTAAACATAGGGAAACATTAGAATCCTTTAGACTAGGCCTTAGGATTGATTTATTCGGGTAAGATAGTAGAATAATGTAGAACCTATACTGGAATCAAACCGCTTGCATGGGGACAGAAGATCAATTGAGTAAACAGACCCAAATAGAAAGGGGCGTAAGACAAGGATGTGTCTTCTCACCGGACTTCTTCAACCTTTACAGTGGCGTATTCTTGAGAGAATTAAAAGTCTTATCAGAATTCATTATTGGCGGCCAAGATCTAAGCAACATTATATATGCAGATGAGTATTGACAGCAGATGCAGAAAAAAACTACAGGATCTACAAAAAACAATGAAGGAAAGCAAGAAGAAAAGACTAAGCATCAATTATAAAAAAAAAAAATTGTATGGTTGTTAGCGAAAGGATGAGCCCAAAATACAAATTACAAATCGCAAATGCCAAAATTAAACAAGTCCAACAACTTAAATATCTGGGAAATGTTTTAACAGAGGACAGAAAGAGTGACACTGAAATCAGAAGGTGCATTAGGCAAACGAAAGATGCCTTTCAAAAGCTAAGCAAAGTATTAAGAAATAGAAAAATATCGTTGGAAACGAAGAAAAAAGTACTGAAATATTATGCATTATAAGTCCTCCTTCTATGGCAGTGAATGATGGACAATCCTATCTCAGATAAAGAAGAGACTTGACGTAACAGAAGGATGCTGAGAATACCACGGACTAAATAAACAAAGTTTTAGAGAAAATGAAGACAAAAAGGACACATACGTAACATCAGTAAGAGACAGTTGAAATTTCTATGGTACATAATGAGGAAAGAGGGCGTAGAAAATTTGACACTCACAAGATATATTGAAAGTAAAAGGGACAGAGAAAAGTATTGTTTTATTCAACTGGTAATTCATTGCCTTTGTATCTAATTAATCCTTTTCAGACTCTGTAGAAAAAGAAATAGAAAATATTATGCAGCCTTCCAACTCTCTATATATAAAGATCTGTTTATATCTCACAACGAAAATCCTATTCAGTGGTTTCTTCCAGACTAGAATCGAAGAGTTACGGACGCATCACTTGCAAACAACGGTACCCGTCCGATTACTGAAGTTAAGCAATCCCGAGCCTGATCAGTACCTAGATGGGTGAAAATATCGGGTGCTGTAAGCTTGGGTGTGCGGGTGGTATAATGAATAATGATTCGGAATTGTTAATCAAAGAGGCGAGTTAAGCAACATAGAGACTGTTCAGTACCTAGATGGGTGACCGTTTAGGAATACCGGCTGCTGTAAGCTTGGATATACGGGTGGTGTAATCATTAATGGCTCGGAATTGTTAATCAGAGAGCCGAGTTAAGCAACACAGAGACTGTTCAGTACCTAGATGGGTGACCTTTTGGGAATGCCGGTTGCTGTAAGTTTGGATGTACGCGGGGGTGTAATCAATAATGGCTCAGAATTGTTAATCAGAGAGTCGAGTTAAGCAACACAGAGACTGTTCAGTACCTAGATGGGTGACCGTTTGGGAATACCGGGTGCCGTAAGCTTGGATGTTTGGGTATTATAATGAATAATGATTCGGAATTTTCAATTGGAGATCCCAACTCCATTCGGAATTGTTATATTCACTTCCGCGAAAATACCCTTGGGAAAGGCATGAATCCACCTCTTTTACCCAAGCTATGAGTTAATTAGTAAGACTTGTATCACTAAAAAGAACATTATTATCTAAAAATAAATAAAATAAAGGGTGTTCGATGGACCGATTTTAAACGTGAATTTTACCGATTTTCGCCACGTCATAGAAAAGATGCGTCCTCCGGTAAAAGCACCTCAGCACGGTTCCATATAGGATACAGGTTCGAATCCTGTCGGAGGACGCATATTTTCTATGACAATTTCTCGGACATTCAGGCCGGTAAATGTTGTTAATACTGTTTATTATAAACAGAGCATTTAGTTAAATATTTGTATCTATCAAAAAGAGTGTATAAACATAATAATGTCTTAAAATTATTGTCGAACTTTGTCCATTTCATAATATATATATATATATAATTATGTATTTGGGCAGCAATCCCCTTTTTATACAAGTTTCATTAAAAACTAATGACAAGGTACTGTGGTTAAGTTTTTTTATTTAATTTTTCTTGTGTTCTTATAATTTTCTACTTTTCGGGACATAAATTATGTAGCAATTGTCCGAATGTTCTGTATATCCGAGCGCTTTCGGCTATACTTCTAGCCATTATCATGTATGATTTTATTTTTTACTTCTAACTGAATGTATAGATTATTTTATGTATGCATCTACAGTTGCCGAAATGTTTTATTTTCCAAACACGGTCAGCACATTATGGCCGTGTTCATAGTTGATACTATTGAGTATAGGCTTTTTTCTTTTTTATTAATAATTCTACCATTATTTTTTAGCCTCTTTTTACATGTGGTTGAGGCTGTTATATTTGTATTATCAACGTGTCTGTTACAGTAAGAGTTTGGTAGGTCAGCATGTGTGTTTATAACATCTAGAACTTGATTTGCGTAGAGTTTAACGGCCAAGACGCTGTGACGATAACAAATAAATGAGGATTCTTTTTATGCGCCGAGTCCCTTCAGGACGTAGACGATCATGGCTCTCCACTTCTCCCTATCCCTTGTTGCTCTCAATAAGTTACGTTCCTCTACTTCCTTCTCCAGGCCACGTTCTGTCATCCACTTGTTTAAGCTCGTCAGGTATGTCATGCGTTGCTTTCCTTTGTCTCTCTTTCCTTCTATTCGACCTGTGAGTATCAAATTCTCCAGGTACTCCTTTCTCATTACGTGTCCCAGAAATTTCATCTGCCTCTTCCTTATGTTAAGTATAAGCTTCCTCCTTGTTTGCATCCTCTCCAAAACCTGATCATTGCTCACAGGCTATGTTGATGGTATCCTTAGCATCCTTCTGTCGAACCATATCTCCGTTGCCTTGAGTCTCTTCTTCATCTTTGAGGAGACTGTCCAACATTCGCTGCCGTAAAGAAGGACAGACGTCACGTAATAGCTCAGTAGTCTTTTCTTTGTTACCAACGAAATCCTCCTGTTTCACAAAACACTGACCAGCTTCTGGGATGTGGGGTTGTCCTAAAAGATAAACGTTTAATAAGGAGATTTTCCCAGGCCAGAAATCGAGAGGAAAAGAAATAGTGTTTCTATTTCTATTTTTAAAGTCAATCTAGATTCCTGTCGGATCTTCATCCCAAATATGGTGCTCGAATCTAAAATGTTTGCGCGCTTTTTCTGAACATTTTGTGTTATTTGGTGTAATCGATTTTATTTTGTCTAGAAAAATACGAAAATGAGACATAAAACAATATTCCAGTGCGGCTTATGTGACGAAACAGTACGAATAATTCATAAGATGGTAGTTGTAGATAACAGATGCTCTATGTATAAGATAGATCTATCTATCTATCTATCTATCTATACCGCTCTCTTCATATCTATTTCGATAGCTAACTCTCTAGATATCTAACTACCTATCTATCTATCTATATCGATCTCTTTATATCTATCTATCTATCTATCTATCTGTCTGTCTGTCTGTCTGTCTGTCTATCTATCTATCTCGGGTTCCTCATATCTATCTATCTCGCTCTATTCATATCTATTTATCTATCTATATATCTCGGTCTCTTTATATCTATGTCACTTTATTCATATTTGTCTATTTCGGTCTCTTCATATCTATCTATCTATCTATCTATCTATCTATCGCTCTCTTCATATCTAGCTCGCTAGCTAGCTGTCTAGATATCTATTTACCTACCTATCTATTTATCTATATTACTCTCTTCATATCTATCTATCTATCTATGTATCTATCTCTCTATCTCTATATATATATATATATATATATCTGTCTATATCGCTTTCTTCATTTCTATCGATCTCTAACACACTTTACATATCTATCTTTCTTTATATACCGCTCTCTTCGTATCTATATATCTCGCTCTCTTCATCTCTCTCTCTCTCCCTCTCCCTCTCTGTTTATTTTTCTATATATCTTTACATATCACTCTCTTCATATCTATCTATCTATCCAGATTGGTAGCTCTCTAGATATCTATCTACTTACCTATCTATATCACTCTCTGCATATCTATCTATCTATCTATCTTCTCTCTCTCTCTCTCTCTCTCTATATATATATATATATATATATATATATATATATATCGGTCTTATCTATCTTATGTATGTATCTAGGTTTCTTCATTATCTATCTATCTATCTGTCTCTCTCTATATATACGTTTCGTCATGACCTTCTTTTTAATCATTTCACCCCCATCAATCGGGAATGCCCCTAGTCCGCAGGGGGGTTACAAAGAGCGAAGGAGAGAGAAAAAACCGAGTACGGGTGGACCGAGGAAATGATAAATGTTGAACGGGGTACAAGATGATAGCATTTAAATTTTTGAAAATTGTAATTATCAGGGAAGCAAGGAAACAGAATGGACTCCCACAGGTAGGAAGTGCGAGAAAATAAACTGTTGGAATAGATGTGGCGGTTAAAAGAGTGGGACCTAGATGCCAATCGAGCAGCAAGCTTAAACTCACATAGTCCGGCCACCAGGGACAAAGCTCGTCAGATCAGCAGCCATGAAAATATTTATAGTAAAGAAAGCGGGAAGCCACGTCTAGTCGGTGAGAAAGTGACTGAAGTCGAGATGCCAGGTCAGGATCGATTATATTGCAGATGCTTCTTTGGATATTGTCGAAAACTTCGAGATGAACAGCAGGATGCAGATAGATAGATAGATATGAGTGAGAAATAATGACTTCAAGCCATAAAGATTTCATACTATTCACCAGTACAAGGCCAAAGAGCCAGTCAAGGTAGAAGCTTATTGAATAAGGTTATTGTAACGGCATAAAAAGATAAGATGTAGATAAGAAGTAAATATTATGGGGTTATGTAGGATAGATAACATTTGACCCTAGACTTCAAGAGGTTAAGCTTGTTGTGATCGGGGAAGTATCATTTTTGGGAGTCTTTTACTATATTCTTTTAGAGACTGGGGATGTGAAACGTACATACACACACGCACATACACACCAATATATATATATATATATATAAGTGTGGGACCTAGATGCATGTCATGTAGTCGGGGCACCAGGGAAAAAAGCTCCTCAGAACAGTTGCCATGAAAATATTTGTAAAAAAGACAGAGGGGAGCCCACGTCATGTCGGTGAGAAAGTGACTGAAGTCGAGATGCCAGGTCAGGATCGATTATATTGCAGATATTTCCTTGGATTTTGTCAATAACCTTGAATAGAATAGTTAACCACTGACTGGAGGTCCTTTTCAGGTTAACTTTGTCGATTCTGACGGATTTGCTTATGGAGACAGGAGTAAATGGCAGTGCCCTCTGCATGAATGCCTACTTGGGAACTGATGACATCAATAAAAAACAGTGATGAAGATCAAGAAACAGCGCAGCACTCAGGATAGAGCTTGCGAGATAACCGCGTTCGTGTAAGAGGATCTGGAAGTGAGCCCGTTTAAAACGACCTTCATTTCATGATTTGATAGGAAAGATTGCATTAAATCAAATAATCGGCCAGTAATACCGTAACCCTGGAGCTTACGTAGAACACCGGCATGCCAAACCCTGTGAATCGCCTTCGATATATCTAGAGTCAAAGCTTGAGCGCCGTTATTATCAAGAGCTTGATATACATATTGAATGATGGACGTTAGCACATCAGTGGTAGACCTGACAAAACGAAAGCCGTATTGTTTGTCAGAGAGTAATTCGTGAAAGTTAAGATGCTTAACCACTTCAGCATTGATTAAAGATCTATCTATCTATCTATCTATCTATCTCTCTTTCTTCATATATATTCATATCACCCCTTCATATCTATCTATCTTGGTCAATTCATATCTATCTATCTATCTTGCTTTCTTTATATTTATCTATACAAAAGTTCCAAGCAGCCTTGTGTAATGCATGAAGTGGTAATCCTGTCCGTGTAATTCGACATTAAATAACCTTACCAGTATTGATATGACAATAGATTAAGAAAAGTAATATATATATATATCCCGTGCAAGGCAGTAAAGCCAATAAGACACAAGGTGGTTACTAAATGTGAAAGAATGAGAAAAAAGAGACACGTTATTAAGGAGAAAGAACAATTAAAGAGTAATGAAGAAGACTAGATATCGATTGACATTGCATTTAAAATTTTGAAGATCAAATTTGTCTAGAAAGCAAGAAGCCGGAAGAGACTTCCACAAGCGAGTAGTACGATAAAAGAAACTGTTAGATTACAACATACGTTTGCATCTAGTCAATTCCAATTCAAATTGTGAATTGATGAGATCTTGCCTAGTACAGTGCTTAAATTCATATAGTCTATGTACCATAGCGAAAAGTTCATCAAAATAATTACCATGAAAGTATTTATTAAAAAAAGTCACTGCGAAGCAACTTCACGGTGGTGGGGAAGGGACCTAAACCGAGCCACCAGATAATCTCTAAATATATACCAGGAGCGCCGTACCATACGTCGCAGCAATATTCAAAGCATGGACGAATGGTAGACTTATAAATATTTACGATAGATTCTGTAGAGAAACATTGCACATTCCTCTTTGGATATTATCAAGAATCTCTAAATATATTGCAGAAGCACCAGAAAAGATGTGGTAGCAATATTCAAAGCATGGACGAATGGTAGACTTATAAATATGTAAGATAGATAACGTAGAGAAAGATTGCACATTCCTCTTTGGATATTATCAAGAATCTCTAAATATATAGCAGACGACCCAGCCCAGATGTGACAGCAATATTCAAAGCATGGACGAATGGTAGACTTATAAATATGTAAGATAGATTCTGTAGAGAAACATTGCACATTCCTCTTTGGATATTATCAAGAATCTCTAAATATATAGCAGACGCACCAGACCAGATGTGACAGCAATATTCAAAGCATGGACGAATGGTAGACTTATAAATATGTAAGATAGATTATGGAGAGAAACATTGCACATTCCTCTTTAAATATTATCAAGAATCTAAATATATAGCAGACGAGACCAGATGTGACAGCAATATTCAAAGCATGGACGAATGGTAGACTTATAAAATGTAAGACAGATTATGGATAGATTCCTGATTGGATCTTATCAAGAATCAAAAATATATAGCAGAAGGACCAGACCATATGTGGCAGCAATATTCAATATTCAAAGCATGGACGAAAGACTTATAAATATTAAGATAGATTATGGAGAGAAACATTGCACATTCCTCTTTGGATATTATCAAGAATCTCTAAATATATAGCAGACGAACCAGACCATATGTGGCAGCAATATTCAAAGCATGGACGAATGGTAGACTTATAAATATGTAAGATAGATTATGGAAGAAACATTATAGATTCCTGATTGGATCTTATCAAGAATCAAAAAATATATAAAGAAGGACCAGACCATATGTGGCAATATTCAAAGCATGGACGAATGGTAGACTTATAAATATGTAAGATAGATTATGGAGAGAAACACTGCACATTCCTCTTTGGATATTATCAAGAATCTCTAAATATATAGCAGGAGCACCGTACCATATGTGGCAGCAATATTCAAAGCATGGACGAATGGTAGACTTATAAATATGTAAGATAGATTATGGAGAGAAACATTATAGATTCCTGATTGGATCTTATCAAGAATCTTTAAATATATAGCAGAAGGACCAAACCATATGTGGCAGCAATATTCAAAGCATGGACGAATGGTAGACTTATAAATATATAAGATAGATTATGGAGAGAAACATTATAGATTCCTGATTGGATCTTATCAAGAATCAAAAAATATATAGCAGAAGGACCAGACCATATGTGGCAGCAATATTCAAAGCATGGACGAATGGTAGACTTATAAATATGTAAGCAGGATTATGGAGAAAACATTATAGATTCCTCTTTGGATATTCTCTAAATAAATATATAGACGCACCAGAACAGATGTGACAGCAATATTCAAAGCATGGACGATTGGTAGACTTATAAATATATAAGATAGATTCATTATAGATTCCTGATTGGATCTTATCAAGAATCAAAAAATATATAGCAGAAGGACCAAACCATATGTGGCAGCAATATTCAAAGCATGGACGAATGGTAGACTTATAAATATGTAAGATAGATTATGGAGAGAAACATTGCACATTCCTCTTTGGATATTATCAAGAATCTCTAAATATATAGCAGACGCACCAGACCAGATGTGACAGCAATATTCAAAGCACGGACGATTGGTAGACATATAAATATGTAAGATAGATTATGGAGAGAAACACTGCACATTCCTCTTTGGATATTATCAAGAATCTCGAAATATATAGCAGACGCACCAGAACAGATGTGACAGCAATATTCAAACCATGGACGAATGGTAGACTTATAAATATGTAAGATAGATTCTTCTTTGGATTGCACATTCCTCTTTGAATATTATCAAGAATCACTAAATATATAGCAGACGCATCAGACCAGATGTGACAGCAATATTCAAAGCATGGACGAATGGTAGACTTATAAATATGTAAGATAGATTATGGAGAGAAACATTATAGATTCCTGATTGGATCTTATCAAGAATCTTTAAATATATAGCAGAAGGACCAAACCATATGTGGCAGCAATATTCAAAGCATGGACGAATGGTAGACTTATAAATATGTAAGATAGATTATGAAGAGAAACATTGCACATTCCTCTTTGGATATTATCAAGAATCTCTAAATATATAGCAGACGCACCAGACCAGATGTGACAGCAATATTCAAAGCACGGACGATTGGTAGACATATAAATATGTAAGATAGATTATGGAGAGAAACACTGCACATTCCTCTTTGGATATTATCAAGAATCTCTAAATATATAGCAGACGCACCAGAACAGATGTGACAGCAATATTCAAACCATGGACGAATGGTAGACTTATAAATATGTAAGATAGATTATGGAGAGAAACATTGCACATTCCTCTTTGAATATTATCAAGAATCTCTAAATATATAGCAGACGCACCAGACCAGATGTGACAGCAATATTCAAAGCATGGACGAATGGTAGACTTATAAATATGTAAGATAGATTATGGAGAGAAACATTATAGATTCCTGATTGGATCTTATCAAGAATCTTTAAATATATAGCAGAAGGACCAAACCATATGTGGCAGCAATATTCAAAGCATGGACGAATGGTAGACTTATAAATATGTAAGATAGATTATGGAGAGAAACATTGCACATTCCTCTTTGGATATTATCAAGAATCTCTAAATATAGGATGAAGCAGACGCACCAGACCAGATGTGAACAGCAATATTCAAAGCACGGACGATTGGTAGACATATAAATATGTAAGATAGATTATGGAGAGAAACACTGCACATTCCTCTTTGGATATTATCAAGAATCTCGAAATATATAGCAGACGCACCAGAACAGATGTGACAGCAATATTCAAACCATGGACGAATGGTAGACTTATAAATATGTAAGATAGATAATGGAGAGAAACATTGCACATTCCTCTTTGAATATTATCAAGAATCACTAAATATATAGCAGACGCATCAGACCAGATGTGACAGCAATATTCAAAGCATGGACGAATGGTAGACTTATAAATATAAGATAGATTATGGAGATAGATTCTTCTTTGGATTTTATCAAGAATCTCTAAATATATAGCAGAAGCACCAGACCAGATGTGGCAGCAATATTCAAAGCATGGATGAATGGTAGACTTATAAATATGTAAGATAGATTATGAAGAGAAACATTGCACATTCCTCTTTGGATATTATCAAGAATCTCTAAATATATAGCAGACGCACCAGACCAGATGTGACAGCAATATTCAAAGCATGGACGAATGGTAGACTTATAAATATGTAAGATAGATTATCTTCTTGCACATTCCTCTTTTTATCAAGAATCTCTAAATATATAGCAGACGCACCAGACCAGATGTGACAGCAATATTCAAAGCATGGACGAATGGTAGACTTATAAATATGTAAGATAGATTATGGAGAGAAACATTGCACATTCCTCTTTGGATATTATCAAGAATCTCTAAATATATAGCAGACGCACCAGACCAGATGTGACAGCAATATTCAAAGCATGGACGAATGGTAGACTTATAAATATGTAAGATGGATTCTGGAGAGAAACATTGCACATTCCTTTTTGGATATTATCAAGAATCTCTAAATATATAGCAGGAGCACCGTACCATATGTGGCAGCAATATTCAAAGCATGGACGAATGGTAGACTTATAAATATGATTTTAAGATAGATTGTGAGAGAAACATTGCACATTCCTCTTTGGATATTATCTTTGGAAGAATCTCTAAATATATAGCAGACGCACCAGACCAGATGTGACAGCAATATTCAAAGCATGGACGAATGGTAGACTTATAAATATGTAAGATAGATTATGAGAGAAACACTGCACATTCCTCTTTGGATATTATCAAGAATCTCTAAATATATAGCAGACGCACCCGACCAGATGTGACAGCAATATTCAAAGCATGGACGAATAGTAGACTTATAAATATGTAAGATAGATTCTGTAGAGAAACATTGCACATTCCTCTTTGGATTTTATCAAGAATCTCTAAATATATAGCAGACGCACCAGACCAGATGTGACAGCAATATTCAAAGCATGGATGAATGGTAGACTTATAAATATGTAAGATAGATTATGTAGATTGCACATTCCTCTTTGGATTTTATCAAGAATCTCTAAATATATAGCAGACGCACCAGACCAGATGTGGCAGCAATATTCAAAGCATGGATGAATGGTAGACTTATAAATATGTAAGATAGACGAAACATTGCACATTCCTTTTGATATTATCAAGAATCTCTAAATATATAGCAGGAGCACCAGACCATATGGCAGCAATATTCAA